TCCCACCTGATGGGGACACCTCTCACATTACTTTCCCTCATCTTGGCTGTTCAGAAGACGGCCATGGTAGCCCCGCCCCTTTTTGTGACGCGGCGCTTGCGTGCCGACGTCAATGACATCACGGCCTGCCAAAACTTTGAATTCAGAAGTTTTGGGGGCGTGGCTATTACGTAAAGAGACAAACTATAAAAAGGGATCATTTACAATGAATCATTGCCCTGTGTTGGTTCGAACTTGATTGTTCCCTATAGTGCATTTTCTGGTTTGGTTTATTGGTTATTGACTTGGCTCTGGTTTGATGATTCTGTGTTCTCCTTCCCTTTGACTCAGCTTGTTTATTCGCTTACCTGTTTTCTGGCTCCCTTGACCTTGGCTTGTCCCTGACTATTTTCTGTCCTTACCAACGTTAGTCCGGCCATTCTAAGTGTTGTTCCTGACACTATTCCACCATCTTGTGAAGTTACACAAGTTCAAAATACATTCCATTGTCAGATGGTATATTTTGAGCCTTATTGTGCAGTAATTTTTTCTCCAATTTCTTTCAAATGTCATGGTATTAATCTACTTATTTTTCATTTTTTTTACATGCACATTGCAGTTTAGCATTTTATTTTGTAAACTTGATATTTGCTACTTCAAAATAAAAGAATCCACAAATTCTGCTCAATTATATCTCATGAGTACAGAATGACTTTGCATACCCTTGTCAGATTTTTGTGAAAATGCTCTACTCAATTAATAATAACTTGCCTACCGCAGTGAAGATGGATCTATGGTGCATTTGAGCAGTTTTGTAGCTCACATATTTAAATCACTCCATAAATACATACCATTTGCAAATTGTGAGGCTGTGGTAACTCTTACATGATGATATGTTGATTGCAGTACATTTTATAATATATAAGAGACAAGTTTAGAAAAAGAGACATGTCAGCAGAAAAGTGTGTGAGAAATCTTTGAGCTGCACATACTGACACGAGGATGAGTTTTTATTACCACTGGGTTGAGAAACAATAAGTAAAGAAAAGAAAATATCTTGAGGTTAATAAGACAGTGCCATTTTGTATTGACTTCAAAAAATCTAGTATAGGGCTGCTTAGCCGATGCCCGCAGATGGGAGGCTATAGACAGTGGGAGTTGAGAGTCCGTTAAGGCATGAGGGGCACCGCAAATGAGAACCTAACTTGTGGACCACCACAATGCATGCTGCAGACCTTGCCAAGTGGCAATCCTCTGACAATTTTAGGTTACGCAGGAGTATTTGGCCTTCTCTTGAGTGCCGTGCGGAGACACGACCGTGGGGCATAGTTGTAGGTATGCTGCATGCTTGTGTCATCTACGGCCCCCGCGCTCCTCTCACCACCACCCAGTGTCAGTGGTTAAGTGCCAGCTGCTGCTGTCTCCTGTACCTCTTTCTCATTCAGCATTGGCCGCATGGGTGATAGCTGGCCATGTGGTGTTGGCCTGCAGGCCAGATCCTGGAGGCTCAGCCTTTGCTGATAGAAGTAGAGGTGGGTACCAGAGCACTCAGTTTCCCCAGAATTGGGTACACAGTCTGTCAAAGGCTTGGAGAAGTAGGTCAGATGGATGGATTGATAGATTGATGGGAAGATGGATGGCTTTGGTTAGGAACTCAGATCTGTAGGGCAGCCATCTTAATCAATAGGTCTCCGCTTCCTACGATGCTGTATTTGACTGTGTTGCTTGTAGTAATAGGCTATGAGAGGGTACCAGTGGGGACCAGGATAGCCCCCACCGGTCCAGAGGGGGAGGAACAGGTCTCTTAATCTGATGCTTGCCAGATCCCTTTCAGAAGATTAGCCACCTCCTCCACCTCGGGTACTACTGAAGGCTGCAGAGGGAGCCTTACATGGGCTTTGCACACCAAAATCGAGCACTAACAGGCACAACACATGCCAAGGTGCCTCTCAATGAGAGTAAGCAGGCTTGTGCCAAAAGTGTGATGCTACTGTCCAGATTTTACCAGTAGTAGAAAGAGGATCCAGGCACTTTAAAATATCTTCCAATGTGTTTATTGGGACAAGTGAGACACTGCAACGTTTCAACCCCTGAAAGGGTCTTAGTCAAACCCTTTCAGGGGTCGAAACATTGTGATGTCTCACTTGTCCCAATAAACACATTTAAGGATACCTGGATTGCCTGGACCCTCTTTCTACTGCTGGTATATACTGCCTGGGGCTGGTGCTGGCCCTTGGTCCAGTTTAGCACCTGGATCCTCACGTGATTGGAGTGCAGTTAATTTTTTTCTCTTTTTGCAAACTGTCCAAGTTTTAGGCTTGGTAGGAAGATTTACCTCAGGAGCTCCAGCAACATGTGGCCATCTTGGACAGATATCAGTCCCCGCCCACCGTGAATTTTTTAATGGAATAGAGGCTAGGTGAGAATCTGATGGAATAGGGAAGATACTTCCATGGGCATGGTACAGCCCTAGAGTGAGTGTCGGAGGTGGAGGTATGAAGAGAGGATAGACCCAGGTCCTCAGCAGAGCGTATGGGCCTCGGTGGGAAATACTTGTGTATTGGTGAGAATAGGTAGATAGGAGCAGTGTTATATCATAATTTGTAAGTGAGGACCAGAATTTTAAATTGAGCTCTATATCTTACAGGAAGACAATGTAAGAACAGGCAGAGGGGGAGGCATGGGAGGCGAGGGAGGACAATAAGAAGAGCCTTTCTGCAGCATTCATTATCGACTTCATCCTAATCTCTAATCCGGCACTCTCCTAATTTTAAACACCCTTTAACCCGAAGCCCCCATAACCTTATTCCCTTCTAAATCTCAATATCCCCCACATAAACCCATCCGTACCATTTAACACTGCACTCTTTTGAACACAATGCCAATTCAGCATCACTGAGATAAAACTTAATATCCCTAACCTAAGCCCATGAGTGCCTTTTAATGTTGCCCTCTTTTGAACACAATGCCAATTCAGGATCACTCAGACAAAACAAATTCAATATTTCAAATAATATTTAAACTCCAAGCAACATTTTAAATGCATGCCTTTTAACAAGACATTTCTTCCAGTCATCTTTTAACTTCGAATTTTCACTCTAATTGGACTCTTTTAAATCACACAGTATTTGGAGCTCATCCAGTTTATGCCTGTACCAAAATCTTTCATAATTAAATAAATTATATATGCTAAGACTGCTTACAGTGCTATGTTGTGCAGTGCCACCTAGGGGTAAAAATTTAAACAGTGCGGGTCAGTTTGCTACTCCCAATAGATTAACCTCCCGATACTAAGCAGGTGTTTTCTTATATATAGTCACAATTTGTGTTAACATATTGATTTCAAATAACACTAGAACTCTAAGCATATAGTAAACATATCATATTGTTTAATAAAAAAAATAACTGAAATAGAAAAAAAAAGCAACAATTTTAAGGAGGAACTGTCGTGTATAAGGAAATTACACCACTTAAAAAAAAAAAAATAAAAACCATTAAAAAATACTGTGTCTTGTGATGCTTCTTTATCTTTTTAAGTGTATTATAAAGATTTAACAATGGACACCACAATCCAGTGAAGGCATACACAGGACACGGATTGCATTGGTGAAGGGAAACAAAAATAGTCTGTTTCATCACATATTATTCTCAGTGACGGAAGATGGAATATCTTATAACAATGAATGAGTAAGTGAGGCAGATTTATACATCTAATATTCTTCTTAAATATTCTTCTTCTCACAGGGAACATAATAAAATAATAAAAATGACAAAATATAATAAATAAATATAAGTATATATAATATTAAAAATCCTCAGAAGAGTACCAAACTATTGGTTCTATTGGCAGCTTTAGAAAACATCCCACACAATAGGAAATAATAATAATAATATTTAAATGGATTAAATAGGGCCTAATGGTTGCTTGAGTTTGACCCATGACCCATGACTAAGGTGATTCTTTTGAACCTGAGAACATCATCAAAACACCAAAGATAACTATGGAAAATATAAACGATGCGTAAGGAGATGTCTTTCTAAGTCCAGTAAAGAAATGCACACTTACTTCAAGGGGCATATCCCATGTATTTTCATTTGGAATTAGCAACATATCTCATCTTCCTTTGAAGCAAAATTGCTTAAGGTGTAATTTCCATGATTACTAATTGTTGTACATGAGATGATCAGATGGAGCACAATGGCAAAAACAATAGGTGAGAGAAAGATTCAAAAGTGATAGTCCAAGAGGAATGTCCACATGGAAATTCCTAATATGAGCTAATAACCAGATCTATAATCATGGACCCAAATGAGAGATCTCAGCTTTATGAAAACCTATTTATAATATTGTGGAAAGAAGAATAATTTTAAATATTCATGTAGAAGAATTTAAAAAATAGAATATTCTCAAAGGTCTTTTTTTGGGAAAAGTAATGTTCATTACATATAACCTAACAGCGATATGGGTATCCTTGGAATCATTGACGTACCACCGATGGGAACCACATTTCCCTTTCAACTTAGCCTTCCTAAAGACTGCCAAAGTGTTGGATGTAAAGTAGTTACTAACATTCTTCAATTGTGTTATATATATATATATCACATAACACAACAGGTAATCTAATATGATAATATTACAGAGCAGGCTTTTGTGTTTATTAAAATGTAACAAATACAATATGAAACTAAAACAAATTATATGGGGACCTGCATGGATGGAAATTTTGAAAACGCACCCTCTCTCCTCTGATAGGGACACTGTCATCCATCATTGAATGAATTTACTCTGGGCCTGCCCCATACCTGAATAGGGAATGCCCCCATCAGTCAGTCTGAGTCATTCCTCCACTATATGTATCAGTAAGATAACTCACTGCTCTTTAAACAATCTGGTAACCTCTGGCTATCCATACACATTTTGCCTACTTTTTAGCTCCAGTATAAGGAAAATTATGTCTTCTAGATATTGTTTGCTGTTTTGGGGCATTTGTTTGTCCTTTTCCCACAAAATGGGTGACTCAATGCCAGTTGTTCAAACGACATTGGATACTTGTTCTTGGGAGGAATTTAAGAATCTTTCACATGATTTGAACATATTTGCACTGGAGTTTCAGACTTTCGTGGTAAGACATTTTGCGCCATGTTAATTTTTGGATATATGTTGACTATACAAGCATTTTGCAACAAAATCTTCCATCTTTTATGTGATTTAATCCATTTTATGAACATCCATGTTACGCCAGTGCCTTCATTTGTTTATCAAATGCATTATTTTAAATATTGCTCTGTTTTGTATCTTAATCTTTTCTGTAATCTTAATAATGAATTGACCATTATGTATGTTTCCGTGGAGGTCACAAATCCCATAACGAATTAATTATGTTACATTTATTTTTATCATTGTAGAGTTATTCTATTCTAATGCTAGTATGAGCAGCAGAGAAAAGAACATATTTTAAATCCTTGTTGAGATTCGTACTAAATCACAGTATATTGTGGGATATTTACATTTAAATAAATCAAGGCTTAACCAACCATGTCTTTCTTGTTGCAGAACAAATCCACAATAAACCCTAGCAGATCTGTTCCACTAATTCAATGTAATGACCAGTGCCATCCAGAAGGCCTAGCAGCAAACAAAGAGGTAATGGATGCTTTTGTGAATATAACCAAAGTAATGAAGTTACAATTTGGAGGGGGGTGTGGGGGGGGGGGTCGGAAGGTTCATACTTGGAGCTATCATTGAAAATCACAGAATAAAAGCTTTTCGTCCATTTTCAGCATATTGATAATCACTCTGTTTTCACGGATGGCTGAATTAAAAAGTCAATTTCTATTAGCAGAATTTACACTGCACATAAACATCTAGCTGTAACGCACAGTCCTATTTCCAGTGGTGATATTTTTGAAACTTAGGTTCCATGTCTGGAAGCAAATGACACATATGTAGATTTCCTTTACTTAGTTTTTAAATGTTGATAATTAGTAAACAGACAGAGGGCAGAAAATGGTGACTGGTGATGAACTAGTCCGCCTTCACTCTTCAGGTGGCTCCTAGCCGGCCAATGGTCATCTAAAAATCAAAGGGAGTTAATCAAAACGATCTGTTTTCCCTATACCTAGTCTTGTCATTGGTTAATGCTACCTGCCGGTTTATTTTCTACAATTGAAATAACAGAATGATGATTATTAAACATTTCTAATATATATTGTATGTCTCACCCAGAGATGTCTCAAGCGTATTTATGAGGTTCTGTACTATTATGAGCATTATACATTGGAACTATTTGGAGAAGGCAGCTTACACAAGAATAGTCATGTTTCACTGAAAATCAACCAAATGGAAAGTCACCTGAGGTCAATTTCAAATAAAGTAAAGCCAGAAGTAGCAAACGCCATCACGAACATTACAAAGAAGATTCACAGCCTCAGGAGATGTCTAGAGGTAAGTAACAGTCATATGTTTTTAAAGTCCTCTACGTCATGAAAATCATAGAGAGTACATTCCAAATTAGAGAACACTGACTACTCTTGTTGCCTGTGTAAAAGAATACATTTAACCCTGGTCACACTCTTTGCTTCATTGTTTTGGCATAATTTGAATTGTGATAAACAGATTTGGTTTATATCATATAAAAAATAGCCAAACTAAATATTACTTAACTGTTACAATATAAGAAAGAAAGAAAAACCCAACAACAACAAAAGTTTAGGAAAAGAGTAGGTGCTAGGCAACCTTTGGTACTCCAGATGTTGTACGCTACATCTCCTATAATGCTCTTACAGCCATAATTACACAATCAGGGGACATGAAGTCCAGAGCATCCGGAGTGCCAAAAGTTGCCTACATTTAGCTCAGAGACATATTTATTAGAGCAAGCCAAACGCAATAATCAGGCAAGCTGATGATCATGAAGGAACATTTAAATGGTGTCCATGGTGATTGCTCCTAATTTATTAATTTACTCATACATGTTAAGCTTGGTAAATATTTTGCATTTGAAATGTATCATGATACAAACAGATGCTATTCTAGTGTTAAACAGGGGCTAATTTCCATGGACATCCGTACAATGTATCCTAACAGTTAGCACTTTATCTAAAAGCACCTTTTTGTCCTGATTTATCTACCACTTCATTTTGAACTAAATCTAGATTATGGCAATCCATGTCTTATGGAGTTTACATGTGCAGTCACGAACAATAAGCTATTATTTCATTCACATTCTAGTGGCACCCAGTGGTCAGTCTTTGTATTGCATAATTATTGTACTGCTGATAAATGTCACAACTCTTATCTCATATACCTCCCCATAGTCATGTGTAATGATTTTTGAATATAGATATGCATACATATCACACCCTGGACTGTGCAAGCTGAATTAATTAAACGTCATGAATTTAACTGTCCTTACTATTCCTGTCTGTGAATTTTACTTTACTACTAAACGAGACCCATTGAGTTTCTAATTGAGTTTCTTTGTTTTCTCACAGAAAAATGGCTACAAGGGGAACAATACAGAAGAAAAAGATCATCCTCCTATTACTAAATCATCCATTGAATATATCTCTGGCCGTTTTATATCTGTGACTCCTCTTATAGCAAGAGTCTTCGCATTGGGTGATCCATCTCGCCACATGTCTTATCAGAAGAAATAATTCTTAACAGTATGACTTTGCGACATACGATATAGTTAATATCAATATTTATGCCTCCGATGCAGGTTGAAAAATGTTAGATGCATCTGTTATATGAATGCAACTTTAAAATACTTTATTTATATTTAATATTATATTTTTATAGCATGTCTCCCAACAGTTCTGGATGTGCTTGGATGGTCCCAGTTAGGGACCACCATCCCAGTTTCCGTTTTTTTAAATTTAAAAAAAAAATTTTTTATATCGCTGGTGTCCTTCTCAAGACAGCAGAGAAATGCTTCCAAAGAACACAGGCCCTTTATTAAAAACTCCCAAGATCATTACAGGGCACTCCAGCTCATGCAATAACATACCTGCAATAGTGATGTCCCGAACGGTTCGCCACGAACGGTTCGCCACGGACTCATCATTGAGTAAACTTTGACCCTGTACCTCACAGTCAGCAGACACATTCCAGCCAATCAGCAGCAGACCCTCCCTCCCAGACCCTCCCACCTCCTGGACAGCTCACTAAGAATGCAGCTTCACAATGAATGTAAAATGATGCTGTCCAGGAGGTGGGAGGGTCTGGGAGGGAGGGTCTGCTGCTGATTGGCTGTAATGTGTCTGCTGACTGTGAGGTACAGGGTCAAAGTTTACTCAATGATGAGTCCGTGGCGAACCGTTCGGGACATCACTAACCTGCAACCATCGGAATGTGTGAAGGCCCTGTTTTCTGGATATTAATCCCATAAGGACCAATTACATGTAATGCTGTCATCAAACTCTAGATTATAAAGACCATATACTAGTTCTGAATGACTTCTTACTTAGCATTAGCAACTGCAGTACTACTACTTTAAATTGGTCCCGATGTTTCATTTTGATGTGAAATTCTTCCCAGAGGAATTATTTCATCATTGAGAGTTTAAGGCTGCAAATCACAATGACACACATACACTAAGCTACTATGTCCCTTCTTGTCTTTTTACAAGCCCCAAAGCATGACTACTGGCCCATTGCCATGCCCCACTTTCATATATTCCAATGTTGGGAGGTAGGTTATAAAACCACAACTTTGATAAAATATCTTAAGCACATTTGCATTTTATATTTATTATAGTTCATATTTTATTTATAGTGTGTTATAAGGAAGTTTACACCATCCAATTAGATTTGTCACTTAAATTAAGAAGACAAGAGAAAAGAAACCATCCATATTCCATGATTTACTTCCAATCATTCGATCTTTAAAAAAAATGTAAAGATATTTTGATGCAGTAACAAAAGTAACAAAGCCTAAAAAAAAAAAGTTACAATCACCTAGCCTAGACCAAATAGACTATCATATCCCACCATCAAAAGCAGACAGTGATTTATTGACAAACATTTGTCGTACGAGTTTTGAAACTTTGTCCAAACAGCTGAAGATTAAAGGATGAGATGCTTATTTTTCTGTGAAAATTACTAATCCTATAGCAATGATGAGAAACGTTTCACACAGCAGCACGTGTGAACTCATTGTTATATCAAAGAGCTGAAACAATCCTTATTAGGTCCCATTACATAATCTCAAAACAGAATGCACCTGTCATGGTTGATTATATATTTCCTACATGTTCTATGTTGAAATTTGTGAATATTGTGTATTACTATTGTTTTTGTATTGTATCCTATTGTATCAATGCAATATTTTGTAAAATATTTTATAATTAAATAATAATTAGGTACATTGCCAGCAATTAGCCTACAGTGCCCTGCAAACGATTTAAAAAAAGATACACTAACTTCTAACAGTTATCATGTTCTACATTAGAAAAGTGTGAGATCCTGGCTGTAGCAAATCTTGAAGAGTAACAAAGGCTAGTGATGATTGGAATGTGAAGGAATGCAAATCCTGCCACTATTCTTATGCAGTAATATAATAATGATACATTTTACTACCTTTCACACGTTTTACCTAGACTTTAGGTGCCAGAATTGTGTATGTATATTAAATATACGCCTATTCACAGTGGTGGGAATAAATTACTAATTTATATTTTTCTATTTTATTTATATTTGTAATATGCACTTGTTATTTTATTTGTGGGTATTTATGTATTTTTATTGTTAATTTATTGTTAAAATAATATAAAGCATTTTTTCCATAATTATACTGGTAATGTCACTGTGTTTGTGGAATTGTTGGGGCCTCGGGACTCCCTATGCACTGTTTTTGTAACAGCTGTGTCTTCATAAGTGCAAGAGAGAATGAACTATTCCGTTATCAGCCTCTACACATCAAAATGTCAAACAAATATATCCAGGAGATTAAGATTAGATTACAAAAAAACCCAGCTCAGATATGAACAAAGACAACATACAGAGGGTAAAAAAAAAAAAAAATACATAAGTGAAAGAAGACTAATTATATGACACTCACATTAACTTGCGCAGGGAAATGGGTTTTCTCTGGTTAAAACTGGCTTTATCTCCATTTAGATATCTGATTAAGCTGTAGTGGTTATGGAGAACACACATGCTCACATTCAGAGGTGTAACTAGAAACCACCAAGCCCTGGTGTGAAAACTGCACTGGGGCCCCTTTATGTATCTCATCCCCCTGCCAGCCACTTCATGTGTCTTATTCCCTTCCCCCCCCCCACCTCACCCACAAGCCTCTCTGCACGTCTCATTCTCCCCTCCATGTTTCTTACCCAGCCCCCCCATGTGTCTCTCCCACCAGCATACATTTGTGACAGACACACACACGCTCACACTGACAGACACAAACACTCACTGACGGACACACTTACTGATTGACACACACTCACTGTCAGACAGACAGACAGACACACAGTCAGACACACTCACACAATTAAATTTTTTGAGGCCTACCCAGCCTCCCTACCTTTTGGAGAGCTGGTGTGGGTCCTCTCCCTGGGTTCCAGCGTGGGACTGTGCATGGGACTGGCATTTCCTCTCTCCTCTCGTGCTGTTTGGTATACCGGGGCTGGAATGACGTTATATTCTGGCTCCTGGCATCATAGAGGGCGCACAAGGGAGGAGAGAGGAACTTCCAGATCAACCTCCTTCCCCACTGCCGAATGCCGCCTGCCTACTCTCCTCCCACCCCCTTTCCGATATATATCGGCAGATTAGGCACCTGCCATCCACATAAGCAGGTACCTACTGTAGCAGATTGCATTAAGGTTGTCCTCAAGAATTCATATTAAAAGTGAATCAGTGTAATTGTTCCCTGTATAACTGTAAGTGTATGTAGCTTTCGTATGATTGTTCGGTAGTTTTCATACGAATGAAACTACCGAACCATCAGACCACCCCAGTGAGAAGTGTGCACCTCATTAAGCTTTCACACTCTGGAAGCCGCAGCTTAATTGACCGTGAAATTGATATATTGTATGTACCTGTGTGGTCGCAGTTCGGCATACGAACCACGTGTGGCGGCCATCTTACGCAAGAAAATCTCAGCGGTGTTTGGTCGTCGAGTGTCTGGAACTCAAATCGGACACTCAAACACCCGAACACCGCTGAGACATCCAGAGCTCCATAACTCCCGAACGGAGGGGCCAGTCAGCCCCTCGTTCGGTAAAATAAATGTACTGAACAAGGGAATACAAACGAATAGAAGATTATCTGTGGATGGCAAGAATTACTGTATTTTTTAACTACCGAACGGAGACCGACTGCAGGGCCAAAACACATAGAGCCTTTTTCGGATACCACCTTGTATGCGGTCGGTCAAATTTCACCTTCCACCTAACTCCCGAACCCCTGGTCCGATATGGGTGAATTTTGAAAATGTTAGTCACCCAGATCTGGGCTACAAGGGGGTACCCAAAATAGTATTCTAGCTGCTTGTTTTGGGGTACATCCAGAACTCTGGGAAAACTACAGTATGTTTAATGAGATTATGTGTCACACTGAGGGGAGGAGATGTGTGGGAGGTAACTGTTACACTATTGGCTACTGTAATAATTACTGTGAATCCCTCCCTTGCATGGGAGAAAGCTTTAAAAGAAGGTTGAGTGATTAAAAGTTTAGTTCTGCTCCTGATGCTTTGTGTCGTCCAGTCATTGGGATCTGTATGGGGATATTCGTGGATTACCTTACTTGCAGTGATTATTATTCTATGGTATTGTATTACTTGTTCCTGATGCTCACTGGGATCTTTAGTGGAGTTAACCTGTGGAAGACCAGCACTCCGCTACACCTACTCTGCCTCACTGGGTAAGAAATTATTTGGGGGTACCATTAGGTGGCCAGATGGCCACCTCCTGGGCCCCCTGTGAGAGGGCTCCTCTCAGCGCCCCCACCATCGGCGGCTCACAGTCAGAGGCCGCTCTCTAATTAGGCAGTTTAGGCGGCCGCCTAAGGCCTCGCACTGGCTGGGGCCTCGCGGCCGCCTAAACCGCCTTATGGCAGTCTGTGTCAGGTCCTCGGTCAGTGACCGAGGACCTGACACCAGGAGGGGGCCTGGCGGCTTGCCCAGTATGCCGCCGGGTGCAAGGCCCCTCCTGGCTGCCCGGCCAGCCACCGCAGACACCGGTCTGCAGCTCCGCAGTGAGCAGAGCTGCAGACCATGTGTCTCGCGAGAATTAGCCAATCAGAGCATCGGCAACGCTCTGAAATCTCGCGAGATAACACGGTCTACAGCTCTGCGGAGCTGCAAACCGGAAGAAGTGGCCACCGGACAACCAGGGAGGACAGGTAGGCTCTCTCACCCCCCTCACCATCACCCCCCCTTTTCCCCCTCAGCCTCACTACCCCCCACACCACCCTCAGCATCACCACCCCCCACACCACCCTCAGCATAACCACCCCCCACACCACCCTCAGCCTCACCACCCCCCAGCCTCACTACCCCCTACACCACCCTCAG